GGGCAGGGAGCCCCGGCGTGTGCCGAGGGGGCTGAGCTTGTGGGGCCTGAACTCAGGGGTCGGTAAGGCCTTGAGCCGCTTACTAGGGTGGGCAGTGGAGGAGACAGAAGGGATGCGTCGTGGGTACGGGTGGAAATACGGTTCTGGATAAATACTGAGCGGGAAAGTCGTAGTGAGGGGTGGCCAAGCAGGGAGGCTCTGGCTCCATCCTCGGAGACAGGGTGGGTGTATGTGCTGTGTACGGAGCCGGTTTGGGTGAGGGGCTGGAGCCGGCACCCCCCCAACGCCTGCCAGGCCGAGCTGTCCCGCGGTTCCTGCGGCGTTAGAAGCAGAGCAGGAGCAGTTGGCACAGTAGGGAATTCCTGCTCCTTTTAGAATTGTAGAATGGTTTGGGTTGGAAGGGACCTTAAAAGGTCATGAAGGTCCAGCCCCCCTGCCGCAGGCAGGGACAGGTTTTGCTCGATCAGGTTGCTCAAAGCCCTGTCCAGCGTGGCCTTGCACACTTCCATAACTTCTCTGATCATCCTGTTCCTGTGTCCTTTCTTCTTCCAGATTTATGTTTTAAATGTGTGAAAGTAGGTTTAGCAAGTGCTCTTACATGAGTTGGAAGAGAACAGGCCACGTGTTATGGTTAAAAAGCAGTAGTACAGATGCAACATAGGGAAACAAATAGGGCTTACTTCATGCTTGACATCCTGAGTTGTGATACCTCTATTTGTTATTTTCCATATGGAAAACTTACCTTTTCCAGCTATCTTTTTTTGTGTGCTTTTTTTTTGACAAAACTAAAAAGCCTGTGTTCAAGTATTGATTATACTTTTACAAATATTTTTGTGTTCTGTGCATAAAATACTAATACACAAACACTGTAAGTAGTATAATTAATAATTAGTATTAATTATTTCTAAACTGAAGCACTACATGAAGCATATTTCTTAATTTATATTTTCTAAAGATTAAACAAATAAAAACATTTTTAGGCTAATTGTTTTAAACCATTTTGTGTCTGAATACAGTCCTTGAAATAACAAATATTTCAAACACTGATGAAATTACTCTCTCTACATTTCTTCATGAAACATTCTACACCATTGTATCAATAAACCTTTCTTCTGAATTAAAACTAACAGTCAAGATAATTGAGGTGAAAGCTAGTAGTTTGTGTTAGGTGTATGTGCAGGCAGGTTTCCTTGTAAGGAAGAAGCATTTTGGAAGTGAATGTAGGAAAACATCTTTTTATTAGATCAGTTTAGAGTTTGCTCATCTTTCTGAAACCATATTGCTAAGCAGCCTTGCTGGTCATCTTGATTATCCAATTTTTGTTGCTGAAAGTTAGTGCTTGCTTATCTTTTTTGCTTCCTCTTACTTGGGAGCTTGTATGTGAAATTCTCTATTTGTTTTAGAACGGTGGAACCATTGGAATATTACAGAAGATTTCTGGTGAGTAAAATACAAAATCCATGTATAAATTGCTGATAATAAATATTTTTTCTTGATTCTGCTTTTCTTACTCATCTGTATGGAAACCTGAAATGATAAGGGAAAAACAAAAACCTCATTGGGCAGGAGAAGAATGGTGATACCCTTCAGAACATCTGTCTGTGGCTTGATGCTGCAGCAGTTGTTTCCCTGTCCAGCAAGATAAGTAAATACTTCTCCTGACCTTGAAAGGCGCATCAGTTAAATTTAACCAAGATGGCGATGCAGGTTTATGTCCTGTACAAAATTATGTCAGACCAGGGTTTTAGATGCTACTGAAAAGAAACGCTAGAGAATATTGCTGCTAACCATGTGAAGGAAAAACACTGACCTTTTTGTACATTAATTTGGTCTACCCATAACTAAGGTAGTATTGACTTAGAAATGGGTCCTTTTTGGTTCTTGTAATTGAACCAAAAGTATCCCCTTCTGAGAAGCTTGAAATTATGATGAATAATAATTTAGATCTGTCATGGTGGTGAATTGGTGTAATTTCTAACTTAAGGTTCAGGTATTTTACATCTTCTGACTGGCAGTGTTTGAACGTTGCAGTGTTTTGGGGGAGATGTTTTGTTTATTTATTTATTTTTTCCTTGAGTTCTCTCTAATTTTAAGAGCTCCACTACATGGAGAGTAATTGCCTACAAAATATAAACAATAGAAACAGTAGAAACTCTCATTTTAAGGTATCAGTAAGCATTAATTCTTGGATGATACTCTGAATCTAGTCTGTAGCACTTACTCTTGAGACAATCACTCTCTTGTTATTTATTTTATAAATATAATAAAAAGGAGGTTCTTTGTGGGCTAGCAATCACAAGCTATGTATCAGTTGATGAAAAGCTCTCTACAGTGTGATCGAGTTTTCCCAGGCACTGTGTATTTCTACTAAAAATAAGAGAATGCTGCTTGATACGAACTCATATAGCATAAATATTGGTGTTTTCTTTAATAAAATAAGTTTTCTAATTCACACTTTGTAATTTTTGTTTAGAAAGAGAACTGTCGACCTGATGGAAGGGAGCTGGGTGAATTCCGGGCAACTACTGTCAACATAGGCAAGTGCTTATTTGGAATAATATTATTAATCATAGAATCACAGAATGGTTTGGGTTGGAAGGGACCTTAAAAATCACCTAGTTCCAACCCCCCTGCATGGGTACAAACATCTCCCACTAGACCAGGTTGCTCAAAGCCCATAAAACCCAGCCTTGAACACTTCCAGGAAAGAAGTATCCACATCCACAGCTTCCCTGGGCAACCTGTTCCAGTGTTTCACCACCCTCACAGGAGAAGTTTTCTTCCTAATGTCTGACCTAAATCTCCCTTCTTCAAGTTTTAATCCATTACCCCTTGTCCTCTCACTACACTTGCAGAATATCCCTCCCTGGCTTTCCTGTAGGCCCCTTCAGATACGGGAAGGCTGCTGTGAGGTTTTCCCAGAGCCTCGTCTTCTCCAGGCTGAGCAGTCCCAACTCTTGCATTTTGAAACAAGAAAGAGGAAGGATTTTTATTTATAGTTTCAACAAGCATTCAAGAGAATGCATGGTACAATAATATATTTGAACATTGTTATTCTGGGCTACTCCTGGTCTGATATGCACAGCACAATTCAAGTGGTTGTGGAAGCTTGTCTCAGGTTTCTAAGGTCAGCAGCACATGTTATAGATCCTGAAGACAGTCTCTAGGCATATACCGAGCAGCACAAAATTGATGCCCTGGCATCTTGGACACACTGACTCCAGGCTTCTGCAACTGTCTCAAGCAGAGGCAAGATATCTCTTATGCAGTGAGCAGCAGCACCTTACCTGCCTTTCTTACACGTAGTCATTTCTAAAAGTAAAATATGGGTTAGCATACCCCTGTGGAACAGTTGCTGATTTTTGCTCAGACTTGACACTGCAGGTCACTTCCATTTTACAACACAGACTTCTATTAGGTCTTGCTGTAAGTCAGCCAGAAGTTGGGCTAACAGTAATTGTCTAGGACTTCTGGTTTTAAAACCAGGTTTTAAACACCAGGGATCACTGTTGAGTCCAGTCCCATTCAACATCATCATTAATGATCTGGATGGTGGGGCAAAGGGTACCCTCAGCA